CTCCAACAGCTCAGGGCAGACGGGAAAGGAGGGAGGAGATGCGGGGAAACAGCAGAATGGTGGCTGCAAGCCACAGAGTAGCATGGAAAGTGTGCCTGAGGATGTGCCTGCCTTTGAGAAGTTAAGCCCATACCCTACTCCCTCACCTCCCCATCCTATGTACCCAGGGCGCAAAGTGATTGAGTTCTCTGAGGACAAGGTAAGGATCCCAAAGAACAGTCCCCTGCCCAACTGCACGTATGCTACGCGCCAGGCCATCTCCCTCAGCCTGGTACAGAGTGAAGATGAGAGCTGCGACAGGCACCGGACACTCCCCAGCAGCCCTGCTTCAGAGGGGCACCGTTCAGCCTCCAGCTGTTCCTGTCAGCAGTCCCCCAAAGCAGCCAGAGCTCACGGATCTTCCCAGAGCAGCCCATTCAGCAGCCCTCCCCAAATCCCGAGCGCCTTTGCCAGCTCTGCCAGCTCTGAGGAGGACCTGCTGGCCAACTGGCAGCGTATGTTTGTGGATAAGGCACCTCCCACCTCAGAGCGAGTGCTGATGAACCGCACTGCTTTCAGCCGTGACACAGCCCCTGAGCTCCAGAAAAGGTTCAGCCGCTCTATGCAGGAGCTGGGTAGGGCAGCCTCGGCTTACTCAGATGGTGAGGAGTCCGCGCAGAGCTGCAGCTGGACCGTGAGCCGGGACTCGAGTGTGGACACAGACAGCACTGAGTCCAGAGCCCGCAGGAGCCATTTCTCCTCAGACTATGGTACAGATTTCTCCCAGGATGAAGCCCAGAAGCTGTTGCATGAAAGCGGTGGAGGCAGTGCTGAGCCTGAAAGCCCCTCACCAGAGAAGCACAAGGACTATGTGGACCTTGGCTTGCCTGAGAGCCCAGCTGAGGAAAGAGAAATACTGCTCCAGGGAAACAAGGAGAGCAACCAAAGAGGTGCCCAAGAAGAAAGTGGAGAAGGCAGGGTCAAGCCTCCCTTCAGTCGGATGCACCGCAGCCCCAAGAGGATGGGGGTCCACCACTTACATCGCAAGGACAGTCTGACGCAGGCCCAGGAGCAGGGCAACCTTCTCAGCTGAGGGAGAGCAAGAAGCAGCCACACGCTGCAGAGCTGTGGGATGCCTCCATCAGTCCACCTGAGGGAGAAACCTCCCTTAGTACCCTCCTCCCAGAGGGAGTCTGCTCTGAAATATTATATTTATTCTCTTCCTTTTGCTACCTGGAAGAGCTGAGGTTTCCCTTCCCTGGCACCTCAGACCCACAGTACTAGCACATGCAGTGTGCAAAAGCACACCCACTGCCCCGACATGCTCACAGCTCTCTCCACAGCCTCACACTGGTGCCTGTACCAGAGCTAGTTCTTGGTACCCCTCCTCCTGGTGCCTGTGCCTCTTTACACCCTCACCCTCTTTCCCCCTTCCCACTCAGGTACCTGAGGCCCTGGGTGCTCTTGCGCTGGTTGCCCACAGCTGCTCTGCTCTCTTTTTTCTTGTGCCAACAGGGCAGACTGCCTGTGTGGTGGCGTCTGATTCCTCGGGAGCCCCAGGAGCCATGAGTGGGGCACAAGGACTCTCCCAGCGGATGGCTGTGTGCCATGGGGATGTGCTGGGATTGCTGGTATCTCATTTTTCTGTTGGGTTTTCTTTTTCCCCAGCTGCCCATGGAGTTGTTCTCCAGAATCTGCCTCTGTGGATTTCCAGCATTGGGCTCAGCACCTGGTCCCCACAGAGGCAACACACGGGTGCTGCCTGCTGAGGTGGTTCAGGGAGGCATTGCCTGCTGGGCCCTGGGGTTTGTGTTTGTGTGTCTCCTCCCTCACACCTCTTCCCCTGCTCTCTGTGCTGTTGTTTTGTTTGAATGGTGCTGATGCTTTGCTCTTGGGTGGGCTCCTTTCTTCTTTCCAAGCCTTTGGTTTTGGGGTGTATTGTTTTTTCGTTCTCCCCACCCCGCATAAACAGACACAGCCGTTGGCAGCCGGTCTGATGCCTGCGTTGAGGGTGTGTTGAGGAGGCTCAGCTATCAGAGCTGCGCTTCCCTCTGATCCTGGCCTCCAGCCTGTAGAAACCCCTCCAGACTCAAGAACAAGGTCTTGCCCCAGGCAAGCAAGGCATGAAGGATGGTACTGGCTTTTCTGGGCAGGGCTTGGTGCAGGGCCAGCAGGGATGCGAGGGCAGCATGCTGAGGAGCTGCTCCCTGTAGATGCACTACCTCATGGCTCGGCAGTAGCCCTCTGCCAGGGTCTCCTTGCATGCCCCCTTCTCTGGGGGGCTCCAGGCTGGCTCTGGTGCCTCTCTGGAGCCTTCCCTTCTGGGTGGGGCTCTCTGTGTGTTTTTCCTAGCGTAGTGTGATATTGCGTGACTTTTCTTCTCAGTCTTGTGTGCTCAGTGTCTGCTTGGGGGGGAGGGAAGGGGAGAGGTCTGTAGATGTAGGTATTTTTTTCAGGGCTTACAGAGCCCAGGCCTCCTGTTTTAATTTTTGTCCTGTGCTCTTGTCTTTCTGGTGTTTCTTGGCTCCCCTGGGAGTGCGAGGCAGAGAACAGCCCAGTTCCCCTGCACCACACCCCCTTCAAACCCCACCGTCTGCCCTCAGTCTGCTATCTGGTTTTTGAGTTGGGTTTGTGTTGTCCTCCCACCCTACACAATGAGGGCTCTTCACTGGGCTGGAGGAGAGCACCCCTGTCTCCATGAGGGAGCTTCTGTTCATATGCTTACATCAAGATGTACAGCTGAGAGCTGCCTGAGGGCCCTGCTCCTTTCCCCAAACCCTGTCTCTGCAAAGGGCTTGCAGCTTGCAGCTGGGGCCAACCAGGGCTTCAGCTTGAGCCTGGAGGCTCCAGGGCCAGTGAAAGGGAGCTGCAGGCCTCTCTGGCAGTTATGTAGGTTGCTTTATGTACCCTGGCTAGAGCTGCTGCCTACACACTCACCTTGTTTCCTGCCACCCTCTGGTGGGGAGGTGGGACTCGGTATTTCACTGCAGTATTTTGCTTGGTCCCTGTGCAGACAGGCTGGTGCTGAGAGCAGGAGCCTCCTCTGAGCCTGCAGAGTGTTCATCTCCCCTGTCCCAGTCGTGGTGGCAGGATCCTTATATTTGCTGTCATCAGTTGCTCCACTGCTGCATTTCTTCTGTTCTGCAGCGTTGCTGAGAGTTTGCACCTGCAGCAGCTGCCAGATCCTGCCTCATGGATGTCACCTGGGGTTGGATGCTCACTGAGCAAGCTGCTCTGGCTCTGAGGCTGCTGGTGGCCTGCAGTGGGGGAGGCATTGCCCCTCAGGGCTCAGCCCCATCTCCCCTGAATCCTGGCATGCTGGTCAGGGGACAAAAATCTCTCTTGCTGAGGCAGCTGGTGCTGATGGTGCTGGGCAGAGCCAGCCTCCCTCTGCTTTTGGTCAAGGTAGACTGAAAAGCAGAACAGTGGAGGGGTGGCAAAAGAGTGCCCAGAGCCTCGCCAGACAGTTGTGCTTTGCAGCATTAGGCTGCTGGCAGAGGTTGAGAGGAAGCGGTGGCCTCAAGGAGCAGAGCCTTCTCCCCTTGGGCACGGTGCCCTCTGCATTCCTGCCCACCTCCAGCAGTATTGGCTCTGGGGCCTTGAGCTCATCCCACTTCCAGTGTCCCAACTCCAGACTGTTAATCTGTAACTAATGTGTTTTTTTCTGAGATTTTCAAACTGATGTATATTTTAAGACCAGAAATAAACTATTTTAAAAGTAGATGGCAATGGCTGTAGTGTTCTTGATGCTGCTTAAAACCTGGACTGAGCATGTGAAGGAGCAGAGCTGCTCAGGGTACAGTATCCCAAGTTTGCTGAACTGTGTGTGCCACCTGTTAGCTCTCAGAGAGAGAGTGATCCTGTGACCTGTAAGCAGCCTCAGTGTTACTGGTAAGATTCTGCCTACCCCGTTTCAAGTATTTTGCTAGCTGTCCTGGCTGTGTCTTGGCAGACTCTCCACCTGCTGATCTAGAGTAGGATGAGGTGTAGCTAATCCTTTTAATAGTTGTTGGTTTTCATAAAGTCCCAGCTCTTGGAATCAGCTGAGAGTATCAGTTCTCCACTTCAGAAACTGAGTTATGTGGAACCATGCAACATACCACCTTGCTGGAGTTCCTAAGGGGGTTATAATTCTAGAGGCAGTATTTTGTGTGGGGAGGATTGAGGTTGATTGGACATATCCCAGGCAGGAAGTTGTCCAAATATGAGACAGAATTCCTGCAGGATGCTGTTATGGACACTTGGAAGTGCTTCCTTTTTGTGTTGAATGGTGCTGCAGAGGTCAGAGGGCTCTGATGAATTTTCTTCCATCTCCAATGTTATGCTGTGCCTTTCTGACCTACATATATGCAAAGCGTAACACAGGAAGAGTTTCTTGTTTCTTTGTTCCCATAATTAATGATATTCCTTGTTCCCTTGAGTAGCAGCTGTGGCCACAATTTGATCTTCTAACCTAATCTGAGCCTTGAAACACGATCTTCCTTGTCTGCTCCAGCAAGGGACGCTTGGCCGAGCAGAGCAAGCCGCAGTGCTGATGCGGGCTGAAGCCTTCACCAGAGGGTGCGCCGCTGGGGCCAAGCTCCCTGCAGAGCCAGACTAGCCCTGCCCGCTACCTCCTGGGCCGGGGGAGGGCCTGTGGGACAGAAAGCTGGGCTGTCGCCGAGCTCTCCCCAGGGCCGGGCCTGTGGGGGAGCCTCGGCAGGGCGGGAGCGCCCGCGCGCAGCGGGGTGAGGGGCTGCCGCCCCCTGCCGGTGCTCCGGTCTTGCAGCGCCTGCCTGCGCCGCTCCCCCCCGCCCCTGCCGGTACCTACCGGCTCCTGCCGCCCCTGCCGATACCTGCCCGCACCTGCCGGTACCTACCGGCTCCTGCCGCTCCCTGCCGATACCTACCGGTTCGTGCCGCTCCCTGCCGGTACCTACTGGCTCCTGCCGCGCCTGCCCGCACCTGCCGATACCTACCGGCTCCTGCCGGCCCCCGCCTCCCCGGAGTCACACAGCGACGGAGACGGACGCTGCCACGAGTGGTGCCACCACGTCTGTGACCTTTATAAAACTCTCATCGCGACAGCAGTACAAGCGATAGAAAGGACATCTCTTATACACATCTGAATAAATACAGCCTGCGCCCTGCGGGCACAGCCGGGCGTGGGGGGAGGCGGCGTGAGCTACACATGCGGCGACGGGACAATCACAAGCGGCCGACTGGGCGTGTGACAACACAGAGACGTGTGTAGAGATTTGCTCGGACCAGGCTCCGGCGCTCAGAGAGCCGAGTGAGGCGCCAACAGGAGGTGAAATGTGCGAGAAGTGGGCTGGGGAGCCCAGCGGAGGCGGGGGTCCGGCAGGCACACGCTGCCCCCGCGGGCACGGTGCTCTTCTCGGCAGAAGCAGGCAGGGTAGCCCAGCTACATCTCTGTTTCTGCTAAGAGGCTGTCACCGAGACCTGACGTCATCAGGACCATCTGGGAGCTGGAATCTGTGTCGAGAGAGGGAGAAAACGATGAGCCGTTTGGGCTGCCATAGAGTACAGGGCTGTACTCCAGATGCAGAGGTGAGGATGAAGAATTAGAGCACCGCAGGTGGGAGGACTACTGAGAGAAGTGTGAGATTAAGTAGTCTGGCCTTGCAGCAGAACAGAATCGATGCTTGGAGAGGGGAAGAAAGCAGAGACAGCAGCAAGAGCCCAGAGGAACATCAGCTATGAACCCTGCCCACATACAGGGGATACTGCTTGTGCTGGCCTAGCTGTGCCCTTACCCAGCCCTGCACTCACCGAGTGCTTTTTTGGCTAGAGAGACAGTGTCCAAGTGGGATGGGCTGTCAGGCTGCAAGCCCACATAAGGTGGTGGTGCTACCTTCCCAAGAGCAGGGAACACAGCAGGCACTCAGCCATGTTACGGCAGCAGAGGCCTGGAAATACTGACTTTCTGCACGGCATGAATGGAGGGTTTGTGCAGCCCTTCCCTGCCTGCCTCGGGGAAGTGAAGGCAGCTTGCTGGCTCTGTGATGGCACAGAGCACCAGCCAGGAACACTGTGACTCTCCCCACACTGAGTGAATCAGATGGAAGGAGGATGGGTATGCATAGCAAGTAAGAAACTCAGTAGGATACTAGTCTCCCAACCAGAAGCCTTTTTAAACAGAAAAAAAAATCTGTTTTTTTCTGGATAGGAACGAGAAGATCTTTAGTGGCAGTCCTACACATTCAAAACTGCTGCATGGGAATCTCTGTTTTGGGGATCAGTTTTTGGAAACTGGATGCAAAACTTGGACAAAACTGTCACTAAATTATTTTTATGGCTTTAACAAATGAGGATCCAGATGTTTTCAGGCTGATGGAGTGGTTGTGCTTGTTTCCTGTTAGTGTGATATGAGAATTGTGAGGGGGGAAGGACAACTGAAGGTAAAAAACAACCCCTCAAAACAGCTGGATCACAAGGTAGGAATGTCAATATACAATATTTACAAACTATACCAAACAGGCTACTGCTATCTCCATAATATACCTTTTTTCCATTACAAGGAAAAGACAGGCTGTGGCACCTGGCTAACCCTTCACATGTATGGGACGCAGAGACAGGAATAGCTAATGCTGTGCGGATTGCAGGGAGGTCCTGGAAGCAGTGAGGAATGACACAAGTTTTGGCTAGGCTATCTGGCAAAGGCCCCTGAGATCTTTAATGCTCCTGCCCTTGAGTTTTAAGACTTTGCATAAAGATTTCGTTCCTGCAGCATCAGGAAAAACGCCTCAGAGGTACCGTTTCCACTCTTTCCAGCAGCCGCATTGTCCTTGGAGGCTGCCTTTCCACAAGAGGCTCAGCCCAACGCTGTTTAACATGAAGGTCACGCCTGGAGGTTGTATGTATTCCAGTTCATGGGGGGAAAGGACAGATCCCATTCACCAACCTCACCACAAGAAACCAGTGGCACTGGAAACACCCCAGACACTCCAACTCCTGCCTGTCAGCTCCTGCCCACAGCCCAGCTCCCAGAGCTCTTACTGTTTTGGCAGATCCAGGGGTTCTTCTCCCTGGCTGTGACTTCATGAGCCTCTGTCTCCTCCTCTTCCTCACCCTCTGAGAGAAGGTCAGAGATCTGCTGCTGCAGCTCGGGACTAATGTTGTTCTCCGCCAGGATGAGTGTCCGTAGGGCTGTGGGGTAGTTCTCTACCATGTCCAGCAAGGTCTGGGTGGAGAGTGAAATAAACAGGCTGAAGCAGCACAAACAGCAGCTAGGCTGAGCAGAAAAAGCATCAATGCTTTGTCTCCCTGCAAACTCCAGCTCTCCTCTTCTTATCTCCACCTTCCCCTGGCCTTGACCTTCCTTCATCAGGCTTTATGAGAGACTGAGGACTTCCCATCTTTCTGTGGGAAAAGCTGAGCTTGGATTTCCTGGCTCTGTCTAAAGAAGGGACTGCTTTACACCCTGTTGCTACCAAATATCCAGGCTCATTCCCTCTTACCACTGGGAGCTGGGGCTCTGAGGGGAGAGCCTGTGCTACCGAGCCTTGGCCCCTATATGTCCACAGAGCTTTAGCTCTGATCCTCAGTCAAAAATCCAACCCCTTACTTCTTCCAAGAAAACAGCCAGAGGAAAGTAAGAACACCCCTGGGTGCAGGGAGGGAAGGGGGCGCATGTGGACTCATGGGGGGGTGGAGGCAGGTGTAGATCCTAAGGCCTCTACAGACATCCCTGTCCTGTGCCACTGAGATGTCAGTGATGCTGTAGAGAAACTGTGGGCTCTCATACCTGGGCTGACTGATTGGTAAGTCCTGTTCCCTCCAAGTCCAGAACTTCGAGGGTTCGACTGGAGGCCACAGCGACAGCGAGCATCCCTGCCACCTGGTCACCTGTGGGAGAAGCAAACCAGGGCCATCAGCAGTGCCTGCCTTTCCTCATGTAATACCACATGCCCTCATGGAAACTTCCTCTGAGTATATCTGCCATCAGACAACCTCCAAACCTGTTCCTCAGGGAGAAAAAAGCTGTTAACTAAAAAAAGAGACAAGGAAAGGTGCACCATTTTGTGGTTATGGGAGCAGTCACTGATTGTCAGGGGGAACACGAAGGAACACAGTGAAACTGGTTTTGTTCCCAAAGGAATCATATCTTTCCAAATCTCCTTCCTATACAAGGATGCAAGGGCCTTTAACAGTCCCTGTAAGGCATCACAGCCACAGAATAGGAGCTAAATACTTCAGTATAGGGTAGGGCTGGAGCCAGACAGAGGACTCTGCACCAGCTGAAGGACTGCCTCCCTGGAAAGGGGGTAAACTTTTGGACACAGCATTAAAGATTGATGGTAGTGAAGAGACAAGACTCCAGTGTGTTCTCCTGACATTCTCTGCTGAGTGCTAAGATGCCATACAACTGTGACACTTTCTCTTAGTGCAAAACCCAGAGTGCTGTCAGATAATACCCTGGAGCCTTTCCTACCCAAGAGGAGGTACCTGGTCAGACAGAGGGCCTGGAGGGAGGCTCTGTTTGCAGATAGGGTGAGGAGGGGAGTACCCTGCTGATGCTCAGGGAGGCATGGCCTGATCTCCTCCTCACCACCTTGCAGCAGAGCTGGAGAGAGTTTGTTTCTATGGCAACGAGTGCCAGGCTCTCCTCCTCCTCCTCCCTTCTCCTCCAGGAAGATGAAGGGGGGAGCGTGGGGACATACTGCATCTGCCAAGCCAGCTTCCGCACCCTGTTCTTCAGGAACAAGGGAGACATGGAGGGTCAAACATGACAACAAAGGCAATGGAGCAGGCAAGGCACAACCTCCTTTCTGCACCTCCCTGCAGGGTATGTGGCCATTTCATACAACCAGAGCAGTGAGGGTAGCTTTCCCTACAGGTGAAGGTGCCCAGCAAGGTGAACTTGCTGCTGGGGATCAGAAGGTGAGGAACTGCCCCATCCTACTGTTGATGCTCTACAGCATTTCTAGAGCTTGGTCCCCAGCCAACCACTGGTGCCAGTTGCACAAACACTGAGAGGCAGGAGTGCAGCATCCCCTGCTCCTCCTCCCTGGCCCCCAGCTTACCTAGAGGGTTGTAGTCCAGGTTCAGCACGCGGAGCTGTGAGCTGTGAGCCACTGCAATGGCCAGGCGTCCCCAGCCCTTGCTTGTGATGCCTGGGTTGGCGCTCAGTGTTAGCTCTTTGAGGCCTGGAGAAGAGAGAGAAGCCAAACCAGAGCCTTAGGGTCACCAAAGCAGTCTCAGGAGAACTATTTCAGCTCACCAGAACAGCTTTGAGTTTGGGGATCTAAGGGTTTGGTTTGCTCTGACAACTGTCATCACATATTTCAGAGATCAGTGAAATATTTCACTGCCTTCAGCAGTAGCCCTTTATTTATCCATGCTGTGAATGCCCCACTTATCTGCACTCCCATCCTGTGTCCTGCTTACCCTAAGTAGCAAACACAATGGAAACAGGTAAGGGGTGTGTGAGACGACTGACTGGGTGAAGGTGACATGAGGTGACAGGTTGGAGAGAGGATAACAAGGACAGTAGGCTCTGAAGCCTGCACCTGGGAGGGGTGGCCAGCAGAGATAACAGCATCAGTGGCATCATGAGCACACAGAGGAGGAGGTACTGGGAAGAGGTGGAAAGCACTTAGAAAGTCAGGAGAAAGGAGTGGCATTACCTCCTCTGCAAATGCCAGCTCTCAGCTTAACTGGCTCACTGGCCTCACACCACCAAAGATTATTCCCTGCAAAGACCCGAGACTTGGCACTAGGGCTATGACCATGCAACTACACACTCACACAGTGCACCTGCAAGCAGGGACAATTCCCAGGCACTGACAATAAAGCCAAGTGCTGAGGTGGGGGCACACGATATATTTATCTATGGTCATTATCAACACTCAAATGCGAAATAAATTCAAAATCCAAGCTGTCCCCTCCTCCAGTTTCAAATGCTCCTAACATGAACCAGAAACAACCTGTTGGTCTCTGAGCTCCAATATGCCAGCAGGACAGATCAATTACAGAAAGCCCATGCCTGCCCAAGGGAACCACTTCTTTATTGCCTGGCTTTTCTGCTTTACTTAAGTTGGGGGGAAGAAATTCTTCAGTCTAGGCAAACTATAGAGCCTGCCTCCTCCAGGGCTGAGGATTTACTGCTGCATGCATCTGCTCTGTGTGAAAGCTCCACTGATCATTGTGCAGCCCACAGCCCCTGGTGCTTACCGGACTTGGCCCCATCAGGCGGCAGGAGCCCACAGATAAGGTTGATGCCTTCATCACCCAGCATGCAGTCTCCTAGATCCAGAGCCACCAGCGAAGGGTGGATGGAAAGAGCAGGATTGAGGAGGGCCAAGCCTGCATCTGTCAAGGGACTCCCATGGAGGCTGTGCAGGTAAAAGGGAAAATTACTACGGAGCCTTCTTCCTGGGGGCTAACTAACCTGACAGGGAGGGAGAAGTAGACGAAATGAGCTGGATGACAAATACTAACCCTAACTGGGCAAAAAGTGCTGGGAAGCCTCTGCTGCGAGGATCAGCTGGCCGCTGCGGTGGCCCTCCTCCCCCGGCCGGGACGAGGGGGTGCAGGGGATGCCAGCGCGGCAGGGGCAGCCCCACCACCGGGGCAGCCAGGCTGGAGGGCCGGGACTGAAAGCCAGGGCCGTGCCCATCCGGCGGGAGCAGAGGTGGCTCCCTCCCAGCCAGGTGACGGGTAGGGGCTTATCCGCCACAGCGTCAAGGGCGTTTTCCCTCCGACAAGACTCAAATTCAAGGGCTGGCCCGGAGCCCCCCGAAAGAGCCGTCCTCGCCCGGGACGGGCCCAAAGCCCCCCCAGCAGCCCCCACCCCGCTGTACTCACAAGAGGGACTGGACGGAGCGGTTCGTCTTCAGGGCCTCGGCCAGCTGCTTGACGCGGTTGATGTTGGAGACGATGCCCAGGTTGAGGTTGAGCTGGGCGAGGGAGCGGGATTCGGCCACCCCACGGCAGACGTGCCCGAAGTCCCGCTCGGAGAGCTGGCAGCCCCGCAGAGACAGCAGCCGCACCGAGTTCTCCCGCAGGCTCTCGCAAATGTCCCGGATCTCCGCCCCCGACAGCGTCTCTCCGGAGATCTGGATGGACCCCGGCAGCATCTTTCCCGGGCTCGAGGAGCCGCCGATCCCGGGGCCGCGCCGCCCGGGCGCCGGGGGGGAGCCAAGCTGCGCGCTGTGCGCTGCGGGCCGGGGCGGGCGCCGCCGCCGCCGCTGCCCGGCAGTGCCGGCCCGGCCCACCGCGGCCCCGGGGGCGGCACCGCGCTGCCTTCACCGACGGCCACCGGGCCACCCCGCTCCGCCCGGCGGGGCGGCAGGACCCAGGGGAGCCATCGGCCGGGGCTAATCCGGACCGGGGCACAGCGCCGGCCAGGGGCCGAGCAGCCCCACGGATCCCCGCCCTGCTCCGCCCGCACCTGCTGGGCCGCCCCGCCTCCTCCCGACCGCCGCTTCGGGCCCTCCTACCGCCCGGCAGCCGCCTCTTCTCGGAACGGGGTGGGCGTGGAGGGGCCCCTCACCCCACGCCCGTATCCCCCACCCCATCCCGGCATGTCCCCCACTACGCGAGGGGCGGTGGCAGCACCCGCTGGCACCTGCCTGCTGCCCTGAGGGGATGGCGGAGCCGTGGCCGGCCGGGCCGCGTCCCCGGCACCGCGGGGGTGCAGGAGCGGAGGGAGGGTGGGAGAAGCCCCACTGGGAAGGACCCTCCCTGCTAGCCCCTCTCCCACCTGGGGAGGGGGCCAAAGCCATTGGGCCGTGGCGCACGCTGGGCACTTGGTCTGAGGAACTGCGATGTTCCGTGGCTTCAGTGACGTTTATGCATAAACCTGGACCCATGACTTAATGGCGAGGTTGGTGTGTGAGCTGCTCCTCAAGGCCCAGGGCTCTTGGAGCCGGTGCTTGGAAGCAGCTGGTGAAAGGTGGAGGGTTGGAGAAGGGCCGCAGGCTTCCTTCTTCCTGAGCACACAGTCTGCGCCCTCAGCCTGACCTGAGGTGTGTGGGGCATAACCTGCCGTCTGCTAATGCACGGGTATGGATCAGAGGGATTTGACCCCTCTCTCCCCCGTTGGGTAATCCTGTTCTTGGAGAGAAATAGGAAGCAGGGCCCCTGCATTTTCAACTTCACTGAGCTGAAAAAGGAAGCCAGTGATGTGGAAATTAGGTTAAACCGCCTAAGTAGGCAGCTTTCTGCACATAACTAATCTGGCTGCTGCATATAGCAGTGCTTAAGTGAATTCCAGCCCAGTGGGTAACACTGGGACAAACCCAGGTTCCTCTGCTTGGTTTTCAGGCCAGGGTGGGGGAGAGGGGGTGGAAAGTGAAGGGAAAAAATAGGGTGTGGAAGGGGATGTGAAGCAGTTCTCCTCCACTGAAATGGAGGACCAGATCACCTGAGCTGAGAGTGCACATTAGGCTCTGAATGAGACAAGGGAAGAAGCAGATAAGAAGCTGGATTCAGATATCAGCTTTTAGACTTTGGCTGCAGCATCTAACTTCCAGTGTAGGTATCCCATGCCCTTTGAGTAATCCATTGCTGTTCTCTAGAGCTATCTACACATTCCTTTTTCTTTCCCTGTCGCACAGGGATGCATGACCTTCATACTGTTCCTGCAAGGAACACCAAAACCAGACCACTGGCCTAGCAATTCATCTGCACTGGGATATGAACAGCAGCTGCGAGCACCCAGCTGTAGTATAGCTGATGGCTTTCAGAAAAGGAGCAACTGATCTCTAAGGTCATGTCAAATGATTCAGGTGAGAATGGGATCCTAGGTATTGCAGGGACAAAGGCTGGATCTCAGAGTGGTGGGCACGGGATGGGTGACCAAGAAAATCCCAGCTGCTGCTGCATACAGGTCAACTGGAAGACTACACTGTCTCACCTCTTGATTACCTCCAGGCACTAATCAACTCATGCTTTTTTAAACAGACTGTTATTAGAGAGGTACTTGAAGGAGAGCCCCTGGGACTTGTCCCACTTCCACTGACAGCAGCAGCCCTGAAACACTGTTGAAGATGCCCTAGTGCTGGCATCTTCACTGCCTATTGTCAGGAGCAAGAGCACATTGAGGAGATAAGCATCCAACCTCACTTTATGCTCAAATACATTGGAAAAAGTGGCACAGGAGATAATGGTCCAAAACTTTGGTTCCCTAAACCTAATTAAGGGCTATGCAGAGGGGACCTTGGCAATGCTATTTTGTGTAGAATTAGATATTGCTTCCTTGTTATGTGCAGTTACCCAGCAGGTATGAGGAAAGTTGTTTATTGTTTACCTACTGGGGGCACGAAGACTGATGCCATTAAGAGTTCACAGAGCTACCCTCTTTCAAAAGGGTGAGGTGATGGGAGGAATTATTTCAGATTTGTGCCAAGGGAGGAGGGAGAAAATTATTTTAGATTTGCTGCAAGAGCTGTGGCAGGAAACAAAGGTAGAGATAGACTTGCACAATAGGCTTGTAAGGCTTGTCATGATAACTAGAGGACTTGAGTAAGCACTGAAATGCCCTCCCACAAGGACTTTACTAAGGCTGCATGCTCAGCATGCTCCCTGGAACATTTCCCTGCACACATTTCCCTGAAAAACCTTGTCCTTCTCTGTCAGCAAAAGGCAATGCTGAGGCTCTGTCAACTACTGAATTTCTGGCAGTACAGAGCAGTTCAGCTTCCAGCTGCTGCCGCACAGAGGATTAATTAGGGCTGAAGAACTGGAGCAGAGCAAGCCCCACAGGTTCCAAGAGGGTGATTGGTTGTCACCCTGGTCATGTTCCCAGCTGACATGACACACAAGCTGCCCAGGGGACGTGTGAGGAGTTTGCTTGCTGCTCTCTCCTGTGCTTTGAGTGAAAACACAGGGCACAGCTTTACCCTCCTGCTTCAGCTAAGTGGCTCGGTGTGGGAGGGGAGCACAGCTGTTCTTCTCTGACTGACTCTGCAGATCAGCAGTGATCGAGTTTGTGCAGAATGATTTTTCTTCTCGGCTGGACTTAACTCCAGTGACAATTGCCTCTTTTCCTTCCTCCCTGCTTGTGCTTCCAGAGTTTGCACCAAGAGAAACAGATCCATTCTAGGCTGCCAGGGCAAGAACTGTGAATTAGAAACCAACCTCCCGTGGAGATATAAAGAGGGAAATACCAGAATCAGCATTAAAAACTAACACTTCCATTTTGTCAAGTATCAAAGTAATAGAAATTCTAGGAGTTTAAAGTGGTTCAACTAGTCAAAAAAACCGCCGTGGAAGCTAGCCCAAATAATTAACAATTCTCCCAAATAACTTGCTCTGAGTGCTGTTCTTCAGCCAAAATGCTTCCTAAAAGAGGGGGACGGGCAGGCAGGGAGGGGAGGGGAGGAGAGAGTGAGAAAACATGTCTATTATGCATGTGATTGCTAGCACACAAGCTTCTTGCTCTAGGAAGGGAAAAAATTATGAACATGGGAATAGGCAAACAGTGGAAAGTAGGTCTGTGACTGAAAATGCTCACATCCAGTGATGTTTTTAACTGAAGCAGATGACCAGCCTGATGACAGTAGCTGGTACTATCTTCCTCTCTTTCATTTCACCTTGGCACTAGTCTGAATGCCACCACAGCTGCATCTTCTCCCGTTAATATAAACAAGAGACCAAAGAGTGCAGTGCTGACATGCTGCCTTGTGCACACCTAACTTGTGGGTACACCAAGAAAGGGCAACGTCTTGTGCTTTCTCCGAGGGGTGGCTCCTCTCCTAGACATCCAGAAATACAGAAAGAAAAGGTGAAAGCCAGTTATCAGCTAACAGCTTTCCACTCTCAGACCAGTAAAAGTAAGAGCAGTGAGGGAAGGTTGAACTAATAATTTGTGTGTTAGTGCAGCACAGGTAAGCCTAGACTAAGCTGCTCTGCTTCCCCATCCTTACCGGAGTTTTCTCAGCATTGGTACGCTGGAGATACATGTGCCAACCTACTTCTATTGCATGCTCCCCTATTTCTCCCTTTGTTTAATGGAAACTGGAAAAAAGTTTGCCAGAGGCCCTCAAGGCTCCAGGAGTCCTTTCAGAAACAAGGCCTAGACTCTGCTTGAAAAGCCAGGCAGTACACAGCAGCCGTGGTGCCTGGGGGAGCAGGATACCACTCCTGCTCAGAGCAATTAGGTGACAGTCCCTTGGCTGGGAGACACAAGGGCAAGCAGCACAAAGGTGGGCTGAACCAGCCTCTTAATAGAAAAACCCACAAAAGACCATGCACAAACATGCTGCCCCTGCACGGCCCACAGAGCAACACGGGCAGAAGGGTGTTAAGAACAAAAGGTGCTGTGAAAGCCTGGGGACAGACACATTTCTAACGTCCCAGGAGAAGGGATGGTGAGGCGAGATAGCAGCTTGGACCAAGTGAAGAGAGAAGAGTCAATCTGGAGCACGACAAGGAAGATCATGCGGTTAAACATTGTGCTGTTCTGAAAATCTCCAGAGAAAGTGAAGTTCCTGTGCCTCTTGGGCTATGGAAAAGTGCCCAAGAGAGGCCACGTATCACAGAACATTTGAAGTAGGAAAGCAGAAAATCGCAAAGAATCCTGCTTTGAGTCTAGGACAGGATAGATAAAGGCATAGAGACCCAACACCACTCTCCCACTGGACAAGCAGGCTCAAACATAAGACATCACTCAGCACCAACATCAATTTAATTCTTCCCTCTTCAGGACAGGAACAGGGCAGATACTCCTGGAGTTACATCAGCAAGCGGAAAGAGGGCTAAGGGACAAACTGTGCTGGGAAATCCCAGCTAAACATGCAGGCAACAGAACCACTCTACTCAAGACAGCCCAGACCTGGGTGGGGGAAGAGTGTAGTTCTTCTGAGTCACTGAGGTGCGACTCACCTCAGCTGAGTCCACTCAGCTGCTCAAAACTGTAACCCAAAGGACAGGTCCAGGAAAACAAAACCAAGTCGTCTTCTTGTTGTTCTGTCCTGTTCCTAAGAGGCAGCAGGTTACTGTGGCCCTATGCAGCCCCAGAAGTAGTGAAGGAAGCAAGTCCAAGTTTGTGAACTACAGGGTCAATGCAATGGCTTTGGCTGTTGTGTTCAGTACAGCATTGGAAACAACTGGAACATCTCGGGCAACTCTCTGAAAGGGTGGCATGTTGGGTCCTTCCAATGTGTCCAGGATACCTGCAGGGAACAGAAAAAAGGGGAGAGAGGCAAGAGTTAGTTCAGATGATAGCAGATGGCACGTTTCTTCTTGCTTTTCTCTCTGGCCAGGTAGTGGTTGATGGTGGCAGGGCCCAGGATATGCAAAACACTTGCAGGCAAGGAGGAGACATCTAACCCCAAAGACTGAGCAAGACTAAACACCTCCATGCAGAGACCACAGGGTACACACCAGAGCTTGACCTCAGGGCAGGAAAACTGCATGTTACCAAGAGTAACATATATCT